GTTTTTTTTTATCTGTTGGAATCAGAACAGATAACACAATTTCATGTGTACATGTATTGATATTGAATATACATGTAGAATTAAGGCACCTTAAAATAAAATCAAAATAATACACATTTAAGCGACTTCAAAATATGTTCATTTTTCTAACCAACAACATCAGGTGTACATAGAAGATCCCCGACTTTCTGGAACTGGTCCTGATTGGTGTTAAAAGTTTTCTGATAATTGTCCGGATCTACGTAGCTCGCCAGAATCCAGTGGGTTTTGATATTATCGTGTGCGGCATAGTAAACGCCAGTCCAGCTCGCTACGGACCTGGCATTCCGGAATTCATTCTTATAAGCGACTGACCATCCCACGATGTATTCCGTGGTATTAACCTGCACGTATCTTCCGATCAGGTCATATTCTTTCTCGGCGTTTCCTACGGCGCTGTAATAATGGCCGGATAGTGTTCCGTTTTTACAGGAAAGTTTCATCTCTGACTGTAGTTGATTCCTCCAGATTCCAACTAATGCACACTGTTCATCGTGTGATGGTCTGCAAGATGATGAACCTGAAAGGACGTCGCACTTAATATTTTTACAAGCAATTTAGAGTGAGATTTTACTTGCTATTTATGATCAATTTATATTTTTTTCACAAAGTGATACACGCAATCTATAAAAAATAGTGACTGAAGGATAGATTTGACAGTACAGTAAATATGCGTACAACGAAGTGCGAGGGAAGGACGTTCGGTTTAATTTTGTTTTGACTTTAAATATTAAAACAACTGAATAAATGCTAATTTAGTTTGACATATACATGTATGTGGTAGGATTACGTTGTATTATAGAGAGACGCACAATATCTCATGACAATTCCAACCACCTTTATCAGACAGACATTCAAAAATGTATGTGTCTAGTTAACGTTTATATACTTTATAAATTGAAATAATTCCTATAAAACAAGTAATGAACTAAAAAAAATAACCCCATAAGTTTTAAAATGGCCTAAAATTGGCTTTCTCAAATCTAAAAGATAAAGGTCATATGCACCATCGAAACATTTTGAATTGACTGTGTTAATTCAAATAATAAATATTTTAAGAATATCATAAATATGATACTACCATATCATAAATATAATACTACCCAATATGTGTTAAGATAGGGCAACTTGGATTAAACTGTCATATGTAGGGATATTATTATTTAAAATTTTTCATGTATTTCAACTCACTAGCTGCCCTGGGAAAAGACTGAACAGCTAACACAGTACACAACAAAACCAGAATGTATGCAAATATTTTCATCCTGTAATTAAAATAAAGATTTTTAATTGTACTGAATTAATAATTAGAACATATTACATGGATCTATCAAAAAGGAAGAAACCACTCTTTGATCATCCTAGTAATTTTATAAATCATGCTTCGAAAAAGTATTTATGTAATATATCTATTTAAAAAAAATAATAAAAAAATAAAATTCAAAAACAAACAGCGAAAGCTTTTTATTTGTATTTATTTATAGGGAAACATGTTAAAGTTAAATTTACCTTGAATTAATAGTTTTTCCCCTTACAAATGATGCTTGAAAAGGCTGTTATCAATTTATATACCTTTATTTTATGTAAACAGATGGTCACGTGACCATTTGCTTGTATCAGAGACAAACTGGAGCAATTATAGATACATTCTAGTTTTTAATGAGTAATAAGATAATGTGTGATACCTATGTAACATTCTATTTGAAGTTGTGACCGATTGTTAGAGATAAAGTTACACTCAGAATTTTTTTTATCAATTAAACATAATTCTAAAATTTACTAATGACACCATTTGTATTATGCACTCTTTTACCGTTTAAACAGAAAACCCCAATATAATTTCCATGATATCATAGAATGTAAGGAGAGGTTAGAAACAATATGTGTTTATTAAAATCTTCAACTAAAATAAAATTTTGAGACATCATTTTTTGTTGTTGACATTATGTATTTTCTTCTCATATCTTTTGCTTGTTTTTCTTTTCACATTGAGTGTGTTTCTTTCATTTTTCATTTTTTATTAGATGTAAAGTAGTATTATTTTTTCTTTTTTTCCCTTTTTGCATGATGTTGAATTCCTTTTCTTTCTTTTTTTTTAAGTTTGAAACACTTTAATTATTGTTCATATGATTTTTTTACCATAGATCCCGAGCGATTTAAAAGAAAAAAAAGTATCATACGTCGAAAAATTCAATGACTGAATGTTGCTAAATGTATAATGGAAAAGGCTTTTATTTTGATTTTTTTCTCATCATTATTATATTTAGTTTTTAGTTTAAACAGTTGTTTTGTTTTTATTTGGTTACATGTACAATGTACATATACTGTTTTTTGCTTTGTATTTTGTTTTATTTTTTTTCTTCAATTTCAATATTTTTGTTTTGAATACATAAAAGATTTTGGTTCAGGAACCAGGAAGTATTTACATGTCGAGATCCTGACAAATTTGGAATGGTAAAAGGTTAAGAAGCTAAATAAATATTATGTCCATGGGTTGATCAGTTTGAAATGAATCCCCGACAACATTAATTCTCCAATACAAATAAAAGACTGATAGAATCAAAATATGTTTTCTAAATAATCCATTCCAAAATAGAATCTCTAAAATTCAGATGATTTTATTTTTCTTTATCTATATGTATATTTGTCAACGGCGTTTTGGAATTTATTTACGTCCTGGGAGAAAAAGTTGAGACAAATGCTTACTAATTTTAAATCTTATTTCAAACATCTTTAATTTTAATGAAAACAAAAAATTATGAAAGGAAATTCAATTGATATTTTGCCCCTCGTATGGAAGCAAATTTATGACCTATCAAAATATTTTTCGATTCGATATAATGAATTGTCGAATTTGTTAGAATTAATTAAATTGAGTTATAAAGAATTTAATCTGTCATTAAAAAATTGTTAAATTCCTTAAAAAGTATTGAAAATTTGATATAACAAATTTTAGAATTGGCTATAACGAATTTTAGAAATTTTTAAAACGAATTTTAGATATTGTTTCAAAGACCTTCAATATGTTATAACAATTTTTAGAATACATTTACATGTCTTTAATTCGTTATAACAAATTCGAAAGTGCGTTATATCGAATGTTTGATGGTTACTTAATGGACTTACGTAAATAATACACAGATTTTTTTAGAATGTCCTTTTTAAGGTACGTTTAATGGCAAAACAAAATACTGTTAGCATTAAATATGACTGAAACATATGAGGATAATGAACACTATTCAATAAGACAATATTGGTCAAACATGGACATCCAAAACATCAGAGGTGGGATCAGGTGCCATGCAGGAGTGAGCATCACCTGCCGACCGATCACACCTGCCGCGTGCTCCTTGTCATGATCGAGGAATAATGGAAAAATCCGTCATCAATTCAGTGTATAAATAATAGACTAACAATTAGTATGAAAATCGTCAGTCAGCATTTGACTCAATGATGAATTGTATTTGCTGATAAAGTCATTGTATAGGCCGTAGAACTTACGAAATGATGACTTACAATGTAGACAAGACTGTTGATATTCTTGTTTCAACAACTTGTTTGTCAATAATTTACCTCTTTTTGTTCATACATAGAGCATGCTCTTACGTATCAAATCAACTGAGATATATAAACTCCACATGCAGGTGATGAAGGTATATTGCTGCATAAGTAAGGGAACTTGAGGATAGAAAAGTTAAATTCATCACGTTTATCATAGAGCTTGGCTATTAGATTACCATTCACGTCATTTTCAAGTTAAATATCCAAATTTGAAACGGATGAGTCAGACTCTGTGGTATCTTTTATCACAAGTTCACCAGGATATATCGTATCGACATAAGAATAGAAATTACCATTTTTAATTGACAATATGTCGTCGATAGATCAAAATTTCGAATTGAAGGCCACAACAAGTATTTTCTTCTTTTCACACTTAAGATTACGCACAAATTCTGCTTCATAAGAATGCTAAAATAGGTCTGCTAATATCGGGGTGCAATTGGTACCAATGGAAATTCCAATAAATTGTTGGAAGACGTGGTCTCCAAAAACGACGTAGATATTGTCAATCATAAACTCAAGCATCTTTTTGATGTCAGAGTACTTGTGTGTAGAATCAGAACGTATTCTAGCCAAATAATTTTGCAAATGACCAATGACAAGGTACCGGTACGTAAATCTACGAGTTCCAACAGCTGTCAATTACAATGTATATAAAAAAAGCCTGGAATTTAAATTATCGTAGGGAATGGTTGCATCTACACCTATACATTAGCCCTGAAAAATTTCCTAAATCTATAAATAAAATTAATTTTTCATAAATATGCCGCTTGTACAAAGAAACGGATAATGATATACAGAGTGAAACCAAAATATTCCTTATTTCTCCATACTGTCAAAATGCCTGTAATTACTGGTATTTTCCCCACGTGATGGGCCGTATCTATAAAGGAAGGTAAATAAAACGACACCTCAGTAAGCCTCTTCCCGGCCAAGAGAGAAGAATTTCTAGGTAAATTTGAAACTGTTATTTAACAACAAAATAACCAAACGTGTATTGATACCCTGCAATACTATTCTGAAATGTTAATCTTTTGCAGTAATATGCAGATTTTTTGGATAAAATGTATATTACCTTTTTACAAGATTGAAATTCGGCATTATTTAAGTTCACATGACCGTTACCTGATAAATATTTTGCGAGTATCTTTTTGAGCTTAAATCTGTACACTTTTAATTATTTTTCTCAAATATGATCTTAAAATTAGATTTGATTAATGACCATCATATTTAAAAAATGAAAATTTATTTGAACTGTTCTGATTTATTTTTGTTTTAATTTAATTAATTAATTTATTATTGATTTGTTTGATTATTATTTATTTATATTATTATTTCATCAATAAATTATTCTTGTGCAATCAAATCTGCATATATTTTAAATTCGAATTACAGAATAAAGATGCTTTGTTATTTCATGTCCCTATTGATTTGTGGATTACTACTGATACATTCATCAGACAGTGTGGCTCGTAAGTTGCATGTCATTCTATAACGCTTCTAATATTTTTCGATATATTGTTTTGACTGCAAACTATTTTCTTAATATAATATTACTAGAAACCTTTTATTCTTATTGTTGCATTAATTATTATCTCTTTTCAGATTTTATTTCATCTTCATTGTAAGCATCGGAATAATTTAAATAAAGAGCTATTACATAAGCGCTAACAATGCTAGTGGTAAGAAATCCCAAATGTTTAATAAGAGTGTTTTATCTAATATAATTTCATTTTAGATAATGATCCATGTAAGACCCATGGTCATCACGTAAACCAATGTGCTTTAGCTGGAAAATGGAGAAACGAGTACAAATCAGAGATGACAATCCATTGCCAAAACGCCACAATAACAGGTCACTATACTGACGTGAGCGGGGATCCCACACAGCAGTATCTACTGGTAGGGAAATATATACAGGTCAATAACACCGAGTACATCACAGGGTGGTCTGTCGCCTTCAAAAACGAGTACCATGACGACATGTCCGTGAAGAGCTGGAGTGGGGTGTACTACGATGTACACGGGAACATAAAGACCCACTGGGTGCATGCCAAATACGTGGAGCCGAAAAACTACTGGAAAACGTTCTCGACCAATCAAGACACCTTTACCAGAACAAGTAGCGACCCCTGCTTACCAAACTCCGCTGGTTGAATGTCATTCTTTTTACTAATTATAATGAATTTGTATCAATTCAACTCAAGCTTTGAACTGATTAATGAAATATTGCATTCTTATTTTTTTTTATCATTAGGCAGAAGCTGTTTTTGTATATGTATAGCGAATACTTCTGTGAAGAAACAATGTAATGTTCTGACTGGTGTGAAATTGTTTGTTCGAATCATTAAAAAATTAGTAAAACTGGTTTGCATCTCTATTATGTAGTAATATAATTTGGATAATGATCGTTGAATAATAAGAAAAAAATGATATAAGGACAAAAAAATGTTAAAAAATATTTGTGTAGCTGTTTTTTAAATTCCAATGAAGCTGAATATACAACTTCTGCTTAAGTAGAAGAAATAACAGGCTTGCAACTCGACATTTAGAAATATGGACGATATATTATCAACAAAAATTACTTCTATTAATACGTAGAATCTATTGATGCAAGTGATCTTGAAATTAAGACACCACAGAGTCCGCAATATATTTCTCATGTTTGGATGTTTAACTGACTATACACTATAAGGACAAACTTCACTGTACTGTAACGACTTTTTCAACTTCCATTACTTATACACCAATACACATTCATCACCTGCATACGGAGTTAATATCTCAGTTGATTTGATACGTAAGAGCACGTTATACGTATGAGCGATTTTTAAAACGAGGTAAATTATTGGCACACAAATTGATGAAACAAGAATTTCATCTGTCTCGTTTAAAGTCATCATTACGTTAGTTCCATGGTCGATACAATGACCTTGTCAGCAAATACAATTTATCAGTTAGTCAAATGCTGTCAGACGTTTTTCATACACATTGCTAGTCCATTATATATACATTGAATTGGCGACGGATTTTTCCGTTATTTCCTAATCACGACAAGGAGCGCACAGCGAGTGTGGCCGATCGGCAGAGGATGCTCACTCCTCCATGGCACCTGATCCCACCGATGTTTGAAAGTTACCTGTTTGCTCTGCTCCTTTTTTTATTGTTTAATGGACTTTTGATCTTGAATACTGTTTGTTATCTATATATGTTTTATTTTTGTTACAAAAATCAATTTTTAAAAATAATCGTAGTTTAGTACAACAAATGGAAAATACATTGTATTCATAATTTTCTTTACGGTATCTTGTGAAATTTGTATTCCTTGAAAACGCTTAAAATTTGTAATATTTATATGATACAGAAATATATTATTTTCTATTGTTTCTGTATTATAAAAATTTAAAAATATGTAAATTAATTGTGTTTCCATATGTTTTCTAAGAGCAAGTCCCGATATGAATAGATAACATTTTATGATGCGTTTGTGTGGTCTAAATTTCAATAATTCCAAAAATTACTTTTAAAAGAAATAAAACCATGGCTGTTATGCCATGCCTTTATTCTTGCAGTGTAAAAAATTACCTTTAGCCGTCTGATAATTATAGGTCTCTATTATTACTCTATATAAATTTAATGCCGTAAATCTGAGTCTCTAAATCTCCTATATGATTGTTTCGGTATAATCAAGTAGTGAAGCTTATTTCAACTTATGTTATATCGTATATCATAAGTTGAAATAAACTTCTCTTTATCTTTATAATTTAATTTCAGTGTAGACAATGAGACAAATTTCCCTCCAGAAAAAGGTTTCAAATTGAACATACATGTATTTTAAAAGTAATGTCAAGCGGAGTGATACGTTTTTGACGTAACCTAGCTATTTTGACGTAGGCAACAAATGTCCATGCGAATACATTAAATCAGATGACGTATTACACTAAAATTAAATTATAAAAACATGGAATGGGTACTCGGAAATATAACATTGACGGTTCCTTTCGACAGGAAACTATTTCCCTCGGGGAAACATGAAGGATATACAGATAACGAACAGTATTCAATATCAAAGTCCACAAAACAATACAATATAGGAGCAGAGCAACCACGACATCCAAAACATTAGAGGTGGGATCAAATTCGTATTTCCCTCATACCCATTCCATAACAATATATTACAAGTCCAATAGTATATTATCGGATGGCCACGAAAACAAATCGGACAGTATTATAAAACAATTTTTAGAGTCAATCAAGGTAGAATATGTTCAGAAACAAAAAGGAAAGAGAGATATACAGGAAAAGTTAACACAACAGTGCAAATAAGTGAATCGAATTTGAATCCATTGATCTGTATATTGCATTCATTTCATTTCACACGGCGGGAATTCGTAATTGTACACCCACCTAAGCCCACCTCTTTTTTTTTTTTTGGGGGGGGGGGGGGTCATGTTTATACTGCTCACGATTTGTATTGTTTAGAAAGACTTTGGGGTTGAATATTGTTATCTCCATATTAAATTTAATACATGTTTCCGTACATTTCACAATAAAAGAAGCTTTACAGAGCAGATATGTTGTACTTAATTGCTAACAATTAGGTCTAGGGTAAAATTCATTTGATTAAAAAAAATCCATTTTTTAAACCCGGTTACGCGGGCTATGCATTTCTTCTGCAAAAGCTACAACTTCTATTGTTGTACTCACAACAAAAGAAAGCGTTTTATTGTTCAAACTAATAATCAATAAAAGAATGGAATTTTAAAAATTACAATAGAATGTAATGTCATTTTAAAAAAATCAGCAGAAACAAAAGACAAAGCAAATGTTTAAAATGAAAATGTCCCCTTCATGGCAACCATTATCCATCATAGAAACCCGAATTTTCTGTAAAGTTTTGAACAATTAGACGAAGCTGGTGTGTACATGTTTACAGATACATTTAATATATTTGTAGCCAATACGGACATCTTCTATAAGACGAACAATGTACTATTAAGTGGTTAGCTAGTACAGAGAGATAACAGGAACAACATCAACGATCAAAGCCTTGTATATACTAAAAATACATGAACACGGTTGTAGCTAAAACCTTTCAAATTTATTTTTCTATTTTTTCTTGGTTTTCAAATATTCATAACTAAGGTTTTTCTAATGACTATCAAAAATTTGAATTTCAGTTGTCGAAGAACAAGATAGATTTAGAGCTCCAAGCCTTTGTTATGTAAAGACGGTCGCTCCATTTTTTTTTTTAGATATTAGGTTATATATACTATAAAATATGTTCATTAAAAGCAGGTTTATTCAATCAGGGGGTTAATTCTAGATGCGACACGACAGTTTCTAGCAATTTAGCAATTTGTGCAGCTGAATCTTGTTTTGTTGTAATCTTTTAAGTTTTACATTTTTAGGGACAGTTTTTGAACTGCCTACTTGGAAGGATACTTTTAGCTTATAACATGTAATATCGAAAGACGGAGCTTTAATCCAAGAAGAATCCTGTTTCACTTCCTATGTGAAGCTACATGTTAATTTGCAGGTCTACATGGTTGGTGTCCGTATACTTTGTCTTCCTGGTTAAACAAAGGTCAACATAATTCCTATTGTGATATCTGTTTTCCAGGTGGGAATACAGGATTCAGACTAGTACGAAATGAGGTTTTCCTGTCTTCTTGTGATCGTTGCTTTTGTATTTTTGGTTCAGGAAAAACGTATATGTAAGTGTAGAGAATAATATTTCACATAATCTAATGTAATACATTTTTTATTTTTCATTTGTACACAATCTCAGATTTTGACGAATTTTCCACAATAACATAGTTTAAATTCATTATATATGGGTTACCTTGTTGATTTATGAAGTAGTGAATTTCACTTCAAGCTTGAGAGACATGGAATCTGTGATGTCAAAAAAGATATCGTTTTAAAAATTGTTCCTTAGTAAAACGTGCCCTTGCGTATTTAATCAATTGAGAGACATACCTGTAAGCCTCTTATCCAGATAAAAAGGGTGTATTGTTATATGAATAAGGAAATTAACGATAGAAAAGTAAGCTTTATAACATGTATCGCATAGTTTTGTTGTTAGACAACTAGTAACGTATTTTCCTCAGAAATATCCAAATATTGAAGAGATGTGTCAGAGTCTGTGGTAATTTTCATTTCAAGTTTACTGGGATGTATTGATTTGATCTATGAATGGAAGGAACTATTGTTAAGTGAACATCGTCGACGTGTTGAAGGCCACGGCTATTGGTGTTTTCTCCGTAAGATTCGTGAACAAGCTAACATTTAAATAAAAGGTGTCATGGATACCTATAATAGGAATATTTATAATCATCTACTATAATATTTTTCTCAATTTTTAAAGTATAATTACAATTATGACCTGAATTGGTGCCCGTGACTCGGAGCACGGCAAAGTTTAGATTAAAAAGTTAGTTATCACTGTAAACATTTCATTTGTATTTCGTCAATCTTTTTCAACATTTGAATGACTTTCACATTATGAGTTTGACAAGAGTTATAACGTCAATTCTGCAAAATTTCAACGTTCAAAGTCTCGCAATGGCTGAGGAATTAAGCTTTGAAGACATGATTGGCATTTGTTTAAACAAGGGACGTATTCGGAAAAGGTGGAACAGAGAGTGAATATAGGTGAAACAGTGAAAAAATTGTTTATATATCGGAAAAACACCTACAGAGACCCATTAATTCTTTAAACGGCCGGATAACATATTACTGTAAGCCCATTTTTGGTATTTTAAAAGTTGCATAAAACAATTCGGACGCAAGGGACAGTTTACGGTATTATTAGTTACATAGTCTTTTAGTGACAGGGTATGGGATGATACCTGGTTAGTAAATTTCATACCTGGCGAGGCGGAGCCGAGTCAGGTATGAAATTTACTAACCAGGTATCATCCCATACCCTGTCACTAAAAGACTATGTAACGAATTTACCCCACCGATGAAACATTTACGTTTTATCTGTAGTTTATAAATGGTTTTCTCTGCTAAATGCTTCATCGCGCTTATACTGTGCCTATTATGACGTCACGTTTGTGTTTGTGACGTAATACATCGACCGGGTATAGATTTTACTGACCGGGTATGGATTTACAACTGACCGGGTATAGGTAATCCACCGCCTTCACGTGACAGACTTCAACCAATCGTAAGCCAGAATTTGTATTTCGTCAATCTTTTTCAACAATCGTAAGCCAGAATTTGTATTTCGTCAATCTTTTTCAACATTTGAATGACTTTCACATTATGAGTTTGACAAGAGTTATAACGTCAATTCTGCAAAATTTCAACGTTCAAAGTCTCGCAA